CCTCCACTGACACCAGAAGCCGTGCTGCTAGAATGCCCCTTCAGAGCTGCTCCAGTGGGCCAACAGCAGAGGACTTAGACACCTGCCGTAAAGGATGTGGATACCCTGGAAAGGGTCACAACCTTGAGCAAGACAGTCTCTGAAAGTGCTGACCACAGCCCACACCCTCCCTACAGCGGAATGGGGCTCCGGGTGGCCCTCACGGTATCTGCCCAACCTTCTCCCACACTTGCCTTGTGCCCATCTTCCCAAATATGCTATCCATGCAGAAGACAGAGCGAGGTCCTCAGCTTTCCTGGGATACTGGTTCTAACCAGTCAGGCGCTGTCTGCATTCTCAGCATCCTCTCCCCATCCTCCCTCCCCTCCGTCCCTGCCCTTGTCCTTTCTCCCTTCTAGGTTTCCACACAGCCCCAGCCGTCTCTGGAAAACAGTTCTCTGCCTGTGACGCCTTCCTGCTCGAAGCCGTTCCTTAATTCCATCTCCAGACCAAACCGTGGCTTCTTGCATGGCTTCCCAGGCCGGCACGGGGCACAGATCAAGCTCAGCTACTTCCTTTCCTGACCCCTGTGAGATCTCAGCGCTCTCTTGCCTCTGGGCCGCCACCCAAGCTGTTCCATCTGCTGTGTCTCTGTGTAGCACTGTCCCCGCCGCCTCTCCTTTCCCGCTCCCCAGCTGACTGTCACTTGTCAGTTAATCCTTCGCCCTGGACACCTCCCAAGCCTCTAAGCCCACTCATGTTCCTTTCATCCCTCTCCATGCCGCTCTCTGTACCCAGCGGGAAGATGCTGGAGATCCCTGTCTCTCACCCACTAGAGCGGGAGCGTGCCAGGGTGGGCGCGTGTCCCCGCACCCAGGCCTCTGAGTGCATAAACCACTCAGACCCATGTGCCAAGCACATCGCTGTGCCACACGCACTCCGTTCTCCGGCTCTACTACTACGCTGCCAGCTGGATGCGACACGAAGAAGCGGGCAGAGGACCCCGCCTGAGTCGTGATGAGTGCTGTCCCAGAGGAAGAAAGGCTGTCCTGGAGCACGGGCCTGGCCACAGCAGTGCCCACCATGGCACGGCATGGTGGGGGTCCCGTCTGGATAGACGAAATGCACAGACAGCAAAGCGGACAGGACTGGGATTAGCACCCAAAGCCCTGCTCCTGCTGGGCGTGTCCCTCGGGCCCTCAGTGGGGTAAACTGCAATCTGACCGCCTCCTGCCCCAGAGGAGCACTGCCGGCCCACAGTGCCGTCCCACAGTGCCAGGGCAATTGCCTCTCACTTCATAGATCCTCTCAGTAGCCAAAGGACACCCATCGCATTTTCCAGGTCAGGAAACTGAGGCCACAGGGGTTAAGTGGCTCAGTGAAGATGCTGACAGCCAGTAGATGGCAATGCAGGGTTTGAAGCCATCCTGTCTCCTGAGCACACCGGAGACTTTGCAGGAGGCCCAGGGAGGGTGGGAGAGAAATGCTCCCGTGGCCAGTGAGGATGCATTCCAAAGTTTCCTCTGGATGAGTCACACCGCCGTGGACAAACACACGACTGCAAGGCGACTTGGAGACTCTCTGGTCTCACTACTCCCTTTTCTATTTAGTTTTATTTTGTGGGCCCTTGGGGCTGTGGTTTAAGATCCATCCGAGTCCCTATGTGAACATCTGGTCCACTGCTTTTCAATGCTTCGGCAGCTGCGTCCACCCTCATCTGCTACCTACTGCTGCAGGGATGAGCACCCAGATGACAGGGAAGGTCACCCACAGACACAGCTGTTTTCACAGGTGAAAAACAACGCCAAGGAGTAGAGAGATGCTCACCCCAGCATCTGGCCATCGTGGGCATTCCAGATGGCTCTTAGCAACCCCTGGGGAAAAAGTCTTTCTCCTGCCTTACCTCTGCATGTCCACCTGGGGAAGAACTCTGGATAGTTTTACTTGGAAGTCCACACCCTTGACTAGGCCCTGGGACCAGGGACAGGTTATTCTGATAGGTTGGTCTGGGTCATGTGACTGAGTGAGGCACTTCCTCATCTCCCTATGAAGGACAGATAGAATGGGACAGGACCAAAGCAAAGAGGAATCTTGGCAAAGAGAAATAGCAGGGAATCACAACCATCCCAAGGCCATAGACACAGGAAAGGGTGTTTTGTTCTGGGTGAAGGGCGGAGTAGATGTCCTAAGGAGCAAGGACGCCACCCTCTGGTGGTTCAACACCACCTTCTGGACATACGCCTTTCCCTACAGTGTACTCCCACTGCGGGGAGAGGAGCCCAGTGCCTCTCTGCTCACTTCGCAGGGCTAAGCAGAGACCAGCAGGGCTCCCAAGGCTGCACCCCGCTCTCCTGTTCTTGTCCCAAGTCAAGGACTTTGCTCCCTAACATGACCGGTTTGCAGACAAGCAGCCACAGATGTAAGAGAATCTCAGGACACTTAAGGAAGCTCTCTTCTGCCCAGCCCAGAGCCTTGTCCTTGCTGACACTAGAATCTCTCAGAATGCAAAGGAACAAGAACTACCGCTTGCACTGCCTTACTTCTGGTCAGCAACAAACAGAGAAAATGGCAGAGAAAGGAAATGGAGAACACATAGCCATCAACTTATAGCTGTGTAGACGAGGTATGTGCCCACCCGCCACCACGCTCCCCTGTTGTCACCCTGAACACCTGAAATGCACACTGGGCCGAGACAGGGCCACTTGGAAGGCTCAGAGTCAATACTTCTGGAAACTGTCCAGGGCCACCCAGAGATGGGGCTCTGTACCCAGCTCCCTTCCCCTCCCTGGGCGACACTGTGGTGCGTTGGGCAGGGTCTCCAGGGTCACTCAGTGGCTTCAGCTTTTGTCGCCCGCAGCAGTAACTGGCAGGACACACACTTTCGAATCCTCCTCTTCTTCCCACCTCATTTCACCCTGCTGCCATCATTTTCTGGGACCACTGTCCAAACAAAGCCACTTGTCCTCAACTGCTCTCAAGGACCAGTGGAGACCACGTGGTAACCAAGAAAGTAAATTCTAGAAACTGGAGACAGCGGTGGAGTGGATAATCCTCTAGGCTTTGGAATCAGACTGTCTGTGTTTGAATCTGCCTTGCTAATATGTAAATATTTAGCATTAAAATGATTGTTATTTATAGACATTGGAAAGAAGATTTCAAGAGGCAGAGCAAGAAACTCTAGAAAAGATGGCGCCAGAAGGATGGAAGATTTCTTAAAATTCGGAGAAAATACAAATAATTCGTTCTGCAGAGCCAGCTACAGAAAGACAGCGTCCTCTCGGGACACTCTCCAGGAGGCCAGGTGTTTAAAAGGACAAAGGGCAGAAGGTGCAGCCCCAAGCAAGAGAGACAACAAAGGCTCCCGCTCCAGCCTGTAAGATGAGCATGGGTGAAGCTCAACCCAGAACACGCTGCAGCTTGCAAATCTCCTCAGGACAATAGAAAGGGCTTTGTTCAAGAATGCTCCAAAGGAAACCGAGAACGAGGAGGGACAAGCCAGCGCTTGGGGCAGCGGGTGACAGAGAGAAAGCCAAACTGCACAGCTCCCATCTTGCTGCCGTCCTTCCCATGGAGATGAATGATTTAAAACACAAAAGGTGAAGACAGACAGAGCTCAGATGAAATGAACACTTGACTATAATCCCGGCTTAGCGGGGTTACTAGACAGAAACGCCAGGGAGAAGCAAGGCTGGGCTCCGCCTGGGAAGCTGTGAGCTTTCAATCCTCAGCGCGGTGGGCAAGTTGTGACGAGGAGCGGGTTTCGGGGCCTGTGTTTAGTCACAGCTGGCTTTCCAAGAAACTAAATGAAGATGTTAAGCATAGAGAAGTCCCTAAATCAATAGCGCTCCCTTAAAGACAACTGTGTACACATACGGTCCTACTCTCACCCAGTTTTGGTGACTGCCACAGAGGTGTGTGTGTTGGGGGATGCTACTGACATTCAATGTGCAGATGCCTGGGAAGCCGCAGAACTTCCTGTACTGATCAAGCCTGGACCCGCCCCTAACAAAGAATTACTTGCCACATGTTGCAAGTGCCAAGACGGAGCAGTCTCAGTCTAAAGAGATAATTGTCAAATAAATGAATGAGGCCCGCTATGTGCCCTGGGAATATACGCATGAATGAGACAATTTCTTCCTCCAAAGCTCATACCACAGTACAAGAAAAATGATTGGGAGTTTGGCCAGGATGCTGAGTGGAGATGAAGGATAGACGGGGGCATTAAATGTGCCTGGCATGTTATGGATACCAAAGCAACCCAGTATGCCTGGAGCATAGGTTCCTCTGGAGAAGCAAGTGGAGATGGCTCTCAAGAGGCACCGGGTGCCCCAGTAAGACACTTGGTTTTCTTCCGGGAGGAGGGTTCAAGACAGTTGCTAAGAATTGTAATGTAGGTAGATCTATTCCTTATTGAGGGAGCGCCGGTGGCGCAATCGGTTAGCATGTGGTACTTATGTCTCTTATTAAGAATATACTCATTATCACTGGCTTTAAAAAATTCTTCCCTCTAGCAAAGAATTAGTATGATGTTCATCCGTCCCTGAGTCCACCATGAGCTCACACACAAAACTGTGGAACACAGTGGTACCCGGAGGGCACACCAAAACTTGGCCCTGCACGCTCATCTGCCCCTCCTTTGCCTTGCAGAAGTGCCATGCTTTTTAAATATACGTTTGAATAGTTTTTAGCAAATGCACAGAGCTGTGTAACCGTCACCATAATCGAGCTTTAGAATATTTTTATCACCCCAAAGAGCCCCCATGTGCATTGCTGCTGGATCACCTCCAGCCCTAGGCAGCCACAGATCTGCTTTTTGTCTCTATACATTTGCCATGTCTAGACAGTTCCAATAAATGGGATCACACACTACGCAGTCTTTTGCCTCCAGCTTTTTTTGCTTAGCATAATGTTTTTGAGGTTCATCATGTGATAGCATGAATCAGTAGTTTGTTCCTTTTTACTGCTGAATTATATCTCAGTCAGATGTCTATTTAAAAGACTGTGCTGGTTGTAGAATGAAAGATGGGCAGAAGGGGAGAGAAAGTGGCCACCAGGAGACAGGTTAGGAGACCACGGTTGTCATTTAAGCTAGAGATAAGAAGGTCTGAGCTAGAAGAATGGCTGTGGGCAGAGAGAGGGGGTAGGGATGCAGGCCACAGGGCCTGGAGCAATTAGCTGACAAGAGGAGAGTCCACATGCGGCCAAGTGAGGAGCCTTAGAGATCTGGACTCTCCCAGGGCTGAGACAGCTGTGTGCTAGCTACACTTCTGGGCGGGCTCATACTTGGCTGCCGGGATGGTGTTCAAAGGAGTCAGGACAGCTAACAACACTCCTGATGGCCTGCAAATAACCAGCCCCTTGGACCACTAGGATGACAACACTGGTAATACATCTGTCAACTGTGCAGGTAAGGGATATATATATATATATATATATATATATATAAATTTCAGGAGACTCAGAGGGTGGGCTGTGACTGAATCTGCTCAGCTGCGTGGTGGGGAGACCTCACGACCTGTTATGTTTCTAGGTTCTTGTCTGGCTTTCCAGGGTGTCACAAGCTTTGTGAGATCAGGACAATGTCCTCAGGGACACAAAGAGGCTCCTCTGAAAATGCTCCCCTACAACTTGCTCTGGGTTAACAGGGCCACCTCTTCTGAGCTTCCTATGGGACTGAGGGCTCCAGAAGAAAGGCTGTATCTTCCCCCAGGTTCCCATGTACAAAGCAACTACTCTCTTAACCACTCTTCTATAGATCATCTCTCCATCAGACAAGCCCAGCAGACTGTCCAGCCCCTGCCACGCCTCTCTGTGGAATGTTTGTGTTCAGTGTATTAGCTCATCTTGTGTTGCCACAACAAAATCCCTGAGGCAGTATAACTTATAAAGTAAACAGGTTTATTTAGCTCCCAGTTCTCAGGGCTTAAACACCATGCCATTCACGTCCAGGTGAAGGCCCTTGCCTGGGTCACAACACGGCAGAGAAACAAAAAGGTAACTTGCCATATACGGAAGAGGTCACATGGTAAGAGAGATTGGTGGGGTACGTCCACTTTCTTTATAACAGCTCACTTTGATGGAACCAACCAGTATCCCATAAAAACGGCATTAATCTCTTTCAAGGGCAATGCCCCTAGTGACCTAATTACACCTCACCAGGCTCCACCTCTTAAAGGGTCCACCATCTCCCGGCACTACACACTGAGGACCAAACCTCCAGCATGTGAACTTTGGAGGGGCATCATATCCAAACCACATCATGGACCTTCACTTGTAGTTCCCCTAATAAAGCCTGTTCCTGTGTCCTGTGCAGACATTTACCCCAAGCTCTGCACACAGGGACCAACAGAGCCCAACAGAGACTCCTTTTGGTATCCATCTATGCCTGCTGAGTGCCAGCCCACGGTCAGTGTTTGGACCACAGAATCCCCAGGCCATCTGGATTGGGTGTATCTTTCCAAGTACTATGCGGGAACCCTACCCCTGTACTCTGTTCACTGTGCCCTAATTCTTGGAAACTGGAAATTCTGATAACATTTAGTACATTTTATAATGACATATGAAACATATGCTCTCTGAGGCAGATTTGGAAAATACGAGCATGTTAATTTTTTATTAATTTCTCTCTTTCTTAATATAGAATATACGTTCAGAATGTTCATTCATACATACACATGGATACATACACATACTCAGGAGTTTTACTGCATAACTGGGGTCGACACTACGATCTTCAGTTTCAAATAGAAAACATCTTTCTGTCACTAGGAGCTGTCTTAGTTCCTTTTCTTGTTGCTGAGACAAAATACCTGACACTCAAAGTTAAAGGGGGAAAGGTTTATTTAGCTTATAGAGATTTATTTAGTTTATAGAGATTTTGAGCCCATAATCAGCTAGCTCTAATGGTGGCACATGCTAGAGGGGCAATCGTGCATGGCGAGGGAAGGCAGCAAAAGCAAATGAGGAGAGAGGAAACAAGCTTCGTTCTGTCCCTTATATTGTATGCAGACTACACACTCTAGGGAGGGTGTAGTGCTCACACCCTTAATCTCAGCATTGGATCATGAATCAATCACAAACTCTAGATTCAACCACCTCTGTAAGCCCGCCCATTATAGCTGCGTGAGGCTTTGTGGGGCGTACATCTAAACGCAAAGCATAACAGGAGCCTTTAAAGGTACCCTCTGTAATCAGAAGGCGTAACATTCTACCATATACAGGGTACGTGGTTGATCCTCCCATTCTCCTCTCCTGGCGCTGTTGGTTGTTGCTGGATCAGGGGACTGGCTTTGGTGACATCCAAGCCTGCACTCAGAATTCAGGCTGCATTTCCTGCAGGTGCTCATGAATCCTCCGTAGACACCTGATTCTTCATCGATGTTTAGTCAATCTACTCGGCAGCTGCAAACTCTCCTCTTGGCCACCTTGCTCCTGGGTCTGTGTGTCCTGTCCCTTCTCCTGCTCCCCACTGCAAAGGCCAGTTCTGCCTGGCTCCCTGCTTGTTCACATCAGCCAGCTCCTAGGACTCCTCCCGCCACAGTCCTGCTGTGGTTACCACGGCTCTCTCCTGCCACCTCCTGCCCGTCCGCAACATCTCTGACACTGGCTTAAACTCTTACAACGCTGGGACAAATTCAGAAATAACCAGCCTAAACCAGCATGAAGACGTGGAGGGGTTTGTTGTAAAGTTCCATCCGTGCTTTGTTCTCAGCTCTCTGTACCTGGACTCTGTGACAGACATGACTTGCATCTAAAAATTGACCTGGAGGTTCTAACTGGTAATAAGCTCAATAAGAATCCATAATGGAATGCAGTTGTCCAAAGGAAAGTAGCTAATGACGTTTCCTGCCACTTCCGTGTACTGTTTTCAGTGGCAGAGGAAAGTCACAGGCAGTCAGATTTCAGGCCAAATGAGGAAAAGGCTACATAAAAAGGGTTGATCTCCAGTGAAACAGACTGGCGGGGAGTTGCTCACCCAAGGCAACGTTCAAGAAAAGATGGCCACCATTATACCTCCAAGGTTTGTTTGGCTTTGGTTTCTATTTTTGAGACAAGGTCTTGCTCAGTTACCCAGTATAGGCTTGAACTTGTGATCCTCCTGCCTCAGCTTCCAAAATGCTAGGATTACAGGTATGCATTCTCATGCTCAGTTCACCTTCAAGATTTTATTGCCACCCACATAAATGTATGACCACTTCCTAAAAGGTGAGCAGAGAAACAATACCCTGTGATGTACTGAGGAAACTCATCATGCAGCTCCTTCCCTCCCACCACTTGGGGAGCAGAGGCCTTGGAAGGCCATAGGGAAGTGCGAGGTTGCTCCCTGAGGTGGGTCCTCAACAGGCCCCAGAAGCAGGCTTTTCTCCCGCTGCTGGTTCCTGACAGAGTGAGGCGGCACCTGGTCTCATTTCCCAGGGCAGTGGCTGGTAGAACACACTACCCTCCAGGCTTCCTGAGCCCTGGGCAGGCAGAGGGCAAAGACCCCAGCCCCAGCCCCCTCATCAGTCCCAAGATGCTTTACCCAGGTCCCTCGCTGTCTATACCCAGGGCTTGCCCTGGGGCTACACACACAGCAACTCTGATAAACACTTGCGTGTCACTCCCTGAGTGCACCCTTCCTTCCTCTAGCCTAGTGTAGAAATGGCTTCTGAGGGTGGCACATGGGTGATCCGGGAGAAAAGCTCTATTCCCTTGGAAGAGGCACAGGGACAGCATGTGCTAAAGGGCTAAGGCAGAGGGCAGGAGATGGGATGTCTGTTGGCCCACAGTGAGCAAACGCTAAGGTATGGGAGGCCGAGGTGCTTGGATCAGGGGCCTGCTGAAGTACTCAGTATGGCCAGTGGCCTGGTCCGATTGGGCTGAGCAGGGAAAGCAGTGGAGCTGGAGAGGCAGAGTTCAAAATAAGAATAAGAAACTTGGCTTTCAGTCTGAAGGCCGCAGGGAACCTCTGAAAGGATACAGAGATGAAAATGATGCAGGCAGATTTTCATTTACAAAAGACAGGCAATATTCCATTGTCGAGGGGAGAATGGATAGAAGCACAGCGGCAGTTAGGAGAGTAGCACAGGAATTTATAGATGAAAAGTACCCACTGCCTCTATTAGAACAGTGCAGATGAAGATGAAGAGGGAAGAAAGTTCCTACCTAGAAATTTTACCGGGTGGTCACAGGGGGTGCAAGGAGCAGGATGGGTTCTAGCCAAGCCCGTGTTTTTAGACCCGGCAGCTTCATAGCTGGTAAAGCTGTTCTCCTAGACAGGACAGCCACGACTTCAGCTACTCTGTCTTGTTGCCCTTGCTTATGGGAACCGTATGTCTTGATTTGGATTGGAAATGAGTTACATGCTATAAATATGATATTTCTTGTCGTTTTCGATGCCCAGTATCTCAGCCACTTCTTAGGTTTGAAATTTCCTACACTGTAATTCCAAATAGGAAGCAAAGCCAATCCACCCCTATAGAAGCCAAAAATGCTAAATTCTCGCTTTCGCCAGCTCCCTTCCAGTTAGGGAATGGCTGGGCATCCTGGATTCTCTTCCACTGGCCTTAAATGAGAACCCGATGGCACAAAGAAGCAAGGGCCTAAGAATCTGTAGTCGGGCCGGTGGCTTCAGGGACAAGAGGTTTCTGAGGACGCAGGGCGCTAACACGAGCTGCTGTGTCTCCTACATCCTGTAGCAGTGGGACAGACAGTGGCAGCAGACTTCTCACTGTACCTGGTCCGTGGCATCTCTCAAGCAGCCTCAGAGCAGGGTTCTTTGGCTCTTCTAGCAAATCTGTAAGCTCCTGCATGTACAGTCTTCCAAAAATTTTTTTTTCTCTCCAAATTAGTCAAAATTGGTTTCTTTTGCTTGCAGTTAAGAACCCTGACTTTTAGACACTGAAGACAAGAGTAGCCGCAGGCAACAAATGTTGGCAGGATGGGCAGAGGGGAAGGCTGTGAAACTCTTCCTTTTATTAAGAGGTGGGATTCTGGCAGTCCTCACGTGGAGGAGAAGCGGCAAATTAAACTACCCGCTCCTTCCACAGGAGGAGGCAGGGCTTTGACGTTTGTTCTCTAGTAGGCCGTATTATGGCCCTTGGAGATCTCACACCCTAAGCCCTCGGACTGTGGCTAGGAGGAGATACCAGGCCCATAAACACGTTACCTTACAAAGTGCACGGTACTTTGCAGACGTTATACAATTTTCTAATCGGTCAGCTTTAAAGAGATTATCCTGAGTTATTCAGGCGAGCCAAACCAATCACGCAAGTCCTTATGAGCAGAAGCATAGGGAGCTGGCTTAAAGATGGAAGGGCCCTGTCAGGGAGCGGGACCGCAGGACTTCTTCCTTCATAAGGAAGTGGATTCTGGCAACAATAAGAATGGATTGGAGGATGGATTCCTTCCCCCGAACACTCCCGAAGG